TTTCCCTTGTTTTCTTTGGTTGGTTCCCGAGAAAGTGAAGTTGTGAAAGGAAATGGAAACAGAATTTCTCTGTCGGTAGATTTCAATGAATTAGGGTTCAGCTTCAAATTTTCTCGTTTGCTCGGCAAGTGAATAGAATTTTGCTTTGTAAATTTTTCTTCTTGTGATTCGAATTCTCTGCTTTACAGGAAAAGCTAAATGAATTCATCCCATTCATTATTGAAAATCATATCATTGGTTATGTTCATAGCGGGTAAGTCTTCTTGCTGAACTCAAGCAAATCTTTTGGGCTGTTTTTTGTAGTCCGAACTTGCGTTGTCTCTTTGGTTAATTTTGTCTGAAAATTCGATTGATTTGTTTGTTAAATGATTTGTTTGTTAAATGATTTGTTTGAGAGCTTATTCTCTTCTTTAGCTCTGTCAAACTCCAGAAATTTAAACTTCTCGAATATTTCCGATGAACAGATTCACAGAATACTTGAGGGACTTTGATGACATCTTTATGTTTCCACGAGATGATTCCTGTGATGGCCATCTTTCATTAAACCCATTGTTGGAAAATCCTGAAGATAGAACGCGTGCGGTGGCAAATGTGATCAAAATCTTGGGTGACAAAGGACTCATCCCGGGAATAAGAGATGAGGTAGTCCTGCTTCGAAGTCCCCCCATTACATCTATATGATACTTGGTATCTGTACTTTAGAGCATTTTGATCTGTTGTCTTTACTTAGATCCCTTTTCCTTTTGTTTTTCCACCAGCTGTATCCTGTGAAACCTTCATTTGATGCTCCCGTCTATTTCTCATTGGAACGTGCTGCTGCTCCTTATTTCGGATTGAAGGTAAATCATATTGGCATAAGGCCTCTGGGCTTGAAAGAAGCTTGTAACTATGTATTATTTGGATGCATATTGAATGATACATTGTCATTGCTTTTGGTTTCTGATCTAGGTTTATGTCGTTCCCTATGGATGGTTCTATGAACATTGATTTAGATGCATTCTGTTCAAAATCGTCACATGATTATGTTTTTTTTTTTCGATTTAGGCTTATGGAATTCATATGAATGGGTATGTTGAAAGGGATGGACAAAAGCTTCTATGGATAGGAAAGAGAAGTCATGCAAAATCCACATATCCTGGAAAGCTTGATCATCTTGTCGCTGGAGGATTGGTGCGTGACAGCTAAAAAGTTTAATAGGCATTTAGATCTGTCGTGGCATTAGGTATCTGGGTTGTATCCTTTTCGTACTTGACCATGCTTTCCTCGGCAGATGGTGGATGTAATTATCATGGCATAGAAAGAGTTTACGTTGATGATTAATATCATAGAGGGAAGAAAGATAATAGAAGATGGAATTGGCATATAGTTTTCTTCATGATTCTTCTTGTTGGATTTGTTCTAGTACTGAAATCAAAGCTGGTAACTGTAGCCTCATGGGATTGGCTGTGGTGAGAACGTTGTAAAGGAATGTGAGGAGGAGGCTGGGATACCCAAAACCATCGCCGAAAAGTATGTCATTCTCTGCTGTCATTTAGAACGGTACATGTCGTTCTAACAAATTTTCTCTTGATGTTTGAATGCCGTGCAATTTATGCCACTTCAGGGCCATACCAGTTGGTGCTGTCTCATACATGGATATCAATGAGTACCGTTTCAAACGCGATGTTCTGTTTTGTTATGATCTGCAACTCTCTGAAGACTTTGTCCCAAGAAATCAAGGTTAGGCACTCACCAGCGAGACATTTCTTTCTATCAGGAAGGTACCCCTTTCTCAGGAAACCGATATTACTTCTCAGAGATAATTTAATCGTAGCTTCTACTCCAAATACAATTGCAGATGGAGAGGTTGAGAGCTTCAAGTTGATTCCTGTGATGCAAGTTGCTAATGTGATTAGGAAGACAACCTTTTTCAAAACAAATTGTTCCCTTGTCATTATTGACTTCTTGTTTCGCCATGGGTACTAGTTCTATCTCTCCCTTTATTTTCCTAGAATTCCTTGATGGAAAACCTTTGAGCCAGGCGTAGTTTCTTTGGCTATAAATTTTTGCAGCTTGAGCTAACTTCCCTAGCTTGAAGACCTTAAGCACTTGCAATTATCTTTCTTATTCTTGAACACCTTGCGTAGTCTGACTCCTTAGTTCCGGTAGTAAAGATTATTTAGAATATGAATGTGATGCCAAAGAGATTAGGAGAATTTGGACATGGATTTCTGTCAGATTGGTAGAACAAGATGGGTTGAATAATATGCCAGTCTAAGGTGAGGAACGCCTCAGTAATAACACACCTGTAATAGTTCCTTGTAATAAATAATGTTGTTATAGTTCACTGTTAAGTAGTAGATGGCTGAACACTGATATTTATACTTTCGGGTTATTAGAAATAGATATTTCAAAGAGATTTTCTGGCTTTTGTGGTTTATCGTTGCAGGTTCATCAGACCAGAATCGGCAGGTTACTTGGATCTATACCGATGTTTGAGGAGCGGTGATTGCTCATAAGGATGCATGTTTTCTCCTCACACATAACAGGTAATATGATGTAAACTTTAAGCAATTCCGTTTCGGGCACTTCTTATCATGTTTTCGAGGATTTTTTCGAATGCCCAACTCAGATTTTAACTTGACTTCAGAGAACAGATATCTGTTGGGAATTTTACGTTACCACGATCGTATATCACGAATCAGTAACAAGAACGTATTACTTGTGTAAACCTACGAGTATGATCATATCTAGTGTAATGATACCACAATTATTGAAATAGAAAGAGATAACCAATTTTAATGTGTAAAATTCACTCAGTACGAGGAATAAAAATCACGGGATTGTAGTCTACCAAAAAATCCATTATAATTGTGTTATAACGTCCATACAACAACCTACCGTGTACAAAAACACAACCCTATGTTATAGATTATGCACGTCAATATTCTAATCTCAATATACCAAAGAGATCACAACTTAACAAATTGTAAATTAGGTATCAAGTCAACTTCGTAACTTCTGTAACTTCTTATCCCGACAATCAATGCAAAATTTCACCATACAAATCAAAGAATAAAGGGTCTAGAACAAGCATACCAATTATTATTATATTGGAGAAGAATCCACCATCTCATTTTCGTAATAATGAGACCTGCCGGGTTTGGTACCTTTGGACGAATAACTTTGGTAAAACCTCTGTTTCTTCATTTCTAACTGTTGAAATCAAATTTCAACCGTTTAGAATTAAGAATTAAAAGTTAGAAACCCTCTACAAAATTTCAGAGCGATTGGATAAGAGATCAATACTTGTTCAACCATTTGATCAAAATCGCACAAAACTGTCTTTTTTTCCTCTCATTTCGCGTGTTTCTTCTTTTTGTTGGTGTGTTAGATCTTCACATCCAAACTTCTTTATTTATAGGAGTCCTAACACCATTTTAATCAACAAAAATGACTGCAAAGTTTTCAAACAAGTATATTTTCAAAAGAAATGGCTTGTTCGGTGAAGAATGTGCTTAACATTGAAGAAAAATTTTGCTTCCTCCAAATTTTGTTCACATGGGTGACAAAATCTGATGGAGAAAAAAAAAATCAAAGTTAGGCACATCCCTTCGAACATATGAACCACCAAGTTTGATACCACTTTGTTTAAAATTTTATACCCATTTTTATTGATTAAAATGGTAGTAGAACCCCTATAAATAGAGGGGTTTAGATGTGGATATATATCACAATAACAAGAAGAATAAATACAAGAGAAAAAGAGAGAGAAAGAGAAGAAGAGAGAAAAACAGTTTTGTGCGATTTTTGATCAAACGATTGATCGGGTATTGATCTCTTATCTGATCAGTCTGGAATTTTTTGGAGAGTTTCTACACATTGTAATCTGAACCATTGGAATTTGATTATAACCGTTAGAATTGAAAAAACAGAGGTTTTACTGAATCTGTTCGTACAAGGGTACCAAACTACGATATGTCTAATTGGTGGGAAAATCAAACCGTCGATTCCTCTCCGATTGCTGTGAAAATTGGTGTGCTCGTTCTAAACCTTTCGTTCTTTTATTTATATGTAGAATTTTGCATCGGTTATGAGAATCAGAAGTTGCGGGGTTGATTTGTTGTCTAAGTTACATCTTGTTAAATTATATTCTCTTTGGAGTATTGATATTAGAATATTGACTTGCATATTCTTATAATCTCAGGTTTTGTTTCTTTTATACGGTGGATTGTTGTGTGGACTTTCTAACCCAATTATTGGATTTTTGGATTGACTATGGTTCCGTAGTTTTTACTTCTCGTATCGGAAGA